CCTGTAGTCCCGGCTACTTGGGAAGGAGGCAGAAGAATCACCTGCACCTGGGAGGTGGAGGTTGCAGTGAGCTGAGTTCACACCACTGCACTCCAGCCTGGGTGACAGAGACTCGGTTTCCAAAAAACAAACAAAAAAAAAGACAGAGCCTGGGAAGTGTTGGGTTTGGGCAGCAGCAGGATCTTCGTGGCTGCCCGGGAGAAGGGGTGGGACTCCCGGAGTAGAGCTTGCAGGAGGAGAGTGGCCAGGGAGGAAGTGTGCCTTTGGAGAAGTTTGCCTGTGAAGGGAGGAAAGTGAGGCAGGCTGCAGGGAGGTTTGCGCTGGGCAGGGTTTTGTTGTTCAAGGGGAGAGTGAGCAGAGTCTGCAGGCGCTGGGCAGCGGGACCGGGAGCTGAGGATGCCGAGGGGGCCTCACTAGCCGGGAAGGCAGCTGTCGAAGCTGGCCTCGGGCGGGATCCAGGCTGTAGGTGGAGCTGTGCTGGCCCACACACTGTTTTGTTTGTTTTGTTTTTTTCTTGTTGAATTTGCTGCCAACCAATTGCATGCAAAAATCCTGATTCCCAGCCTCTGGCAAAATTCAAAGAGTTGATAACCCAGGGCCCCCGTCTTCCTTCAAGAGAGCAGGCAGGAGCCTGGGGCCTGCAGGGGGGCCTGGCTTCTGGGGTGCCACCTGTGCATAGAGGCAAGAGAATGGGACGGGAGGAGGAGGGCCTGAGGCCCGCTGTCTGACGGGAGTGGGGCGGTGGGAGGGATGTGAGGAAGCTGGGAAGGTGGGGGGCTGGGCTGGAGGTGAGGTAGGGAGAGAGGGGCGAGGTTTGGAGGGGCCACTGAGGGCAGTGGGGGCAGGGGCGAAACTGGGAAGGCCCCGTGGAGAAGCGCTGCGCTAGCCGCAGTCGGGACCAGCTCACATGTTGAAGCAGGGACCAGCAGTGGCTCCGTTCCCATCCCAGGATGAGAGAACCCGGCGGGGGGAGAAGCAGAGGGCAGAGGACTCTGTGTCCTCCAGGAGCATCCACACCAACATCACACCCGTGGCTATGTCAGCGGGTGGGGCAGTGCTGGGCCCTGGGGCCACACAGATGGGGCCGCAGAAGAGGGACCGCCCTTACCCACCCCAGGGTTTCTCCTTGGATGCCAAGGGCGACACGCGAGCTGGAGAAGGCAGCTGTCCTAGGCTAGGAGCACCCTGAGGGGCTCCACTGACGCCGGGAGGAACTCCTGTCCAGGGAAGTGAGGCTGCTCCTGGGATTCTGGGTCGAGATCCTCTTGCTCCATGGGACACGCCTTCAGGAAACGCTTTTCCTGCACCACCTCCCCCCATAGTTTCCACTTGAAGCATCTTCTGTCTGCGCAACTGTGGCCTTAGGCCCAGTTCTGTTAGTTCCCCAGGTGGGGCTGGGTCTTGATGGAGAGGGGGTCTCGCTCCAGGGCCTCCCCGTTAACAGCTCAGCACACACCTCAACATGGAAACATCCCCACTGCACACTTTCTCGGCACGTTCTGCTCTCAGTGGCTCTGGGCGTCGTGCGCGGCTTGGACACACGTCACTGCATCACGTCGAGCTGGAATGTAATTAGGCGATGGTGGGGAAAATTCCATCTGTCTCCCGGGAATACCGCAATCATGAGCCATCACAGGGGAGCAGAGGGGTGGGCGGGGGCTGCTGACCTGAGCGGGAGGCTCGGCCCCTGCGTTAGCTGGGCGGCCGCTCTGATGCGCTCCGACGGGCCTGCCCTGTTCTCCAGCAGGAAGCGGGAGCTGTAGTGAGGAGCCTGAAGGGGTGTGCTGGGCTCTGAAGCAGGGAAGAGAGCAAGCCATCCCTCTCTGGGGTGGGGTAAGGCCGAAGCCATAGTCCGCCCCACAGGCATGTGGCCTTGTGCTAGACGCAGCCCAGGCGAGGGCGGAGAGTCCTGCGACTGAGGACGCAGACTTCCCGCAGGAGTGGGCTGGACGGTGTGGGTCAGCGCAGAGGGCAGCAGGCGCCTGGCGGGACCAGGGGTCTTCACCTGGAAAGCAAACGCGGGGAGGCCCCAGACCACCTCTACCTTGAGCCAACTCTCCTCTGCGCCCACTGAGGTCACCCACACCCACTCAGGCCCCGCTCCCGCCCTGTCCTTCACGGGGCCAGGGAGATGGACCCGCCCAGAGCCCGTGTTCCCGCCTCAAGACCAGCTCGGGCCAGACGCAGGCACATTCGATTTTCTAGTAGCCATATTAGAAAAGCAAACTAACAGGTGAAATTAATTTCAAAAGATTTTTTTTTTACTTTTTACTTTTTTTTCCTTTCGTTTTTGAGATAGAGTCTTGCTCTGTCACCCAGGCTGGAGTGCAGTGGCTCGATCTCAGCTCACTGCAACCTCTGCCTCCCGGGTTCAAGTGATTCTCCTGCCTCAGCCTCCTGAGTACCTAGGATTACAGGCGCCCGCCACCAAGCCCAGCTAATTTTTGTATTTTTAGTAGAGACGGGGTTTCACCATGTTGGTCAGGGTGGCCTCGAACTCCTGACCTCGTGGTCTGCCCACTTCAGCCTCCCAAAGCGTTGGGATTACGACCATGCCCAGCCATAAATTTTTTTTAGAGATAGGTTTTTGCTCTGTCACCCAGGCTGGAGAACAGAGGTGTGACCGTAACTCCCTATGGCCTTGACCTCCTGGGCTGAAGCCATCCTCCCACTTTGGCCTCCTGAGTAGCTGGGACTACAAGCACATGCCAACATGCCGCTAATTATTAAATTTTTTGTAGAGATGGTTCTTGCCATGTTGCCCAGCCTGGCCTCAAATTCCTGGACTCAAGCAATCCTCACTTCAGCTTCTCAAAGTGCTGGAATTTTAGGCGTGAGGCACCAGACTGGGCCTAAAATATTTTTATATTTAACCCAATATATTCAAAATATGATGGTGCAATATCAACATGCAATCAATGTAAAATTATTCATGAGGTATTTTTATTCTTTTTCATACTAAGTCTTTGAAATGTGCACATTTCAAGCATTAGGTCGCCACGTGTGGGAAGCAGCTACTGTGGGGGACAGCACAGCCCCAGGCTGTTCCAGGTGCTCAAGACCCCAGAACTCTTTTCTCAAGTGACTGCCACCTGTGTCCAGGACCTCCTCCCCATTAGAGCTCCCAAGGGCAGACTCAGGTTGGGAAGCGCCAAGAGCCAGGTTCACCTCCAAGGCAGGAATGCAAAATCCCCACAGATTTGTTCTCCTTACCTCAAAATCCACTCCGATTCTAGAGGCCCGGGGGATACGAGCTATGGAGCATCGAGTGGCAGAGGCGGGTGGACACAGCCCAGAGGCAGCAGGGAGCGCCCGAGGTGGTGGGCAACAGGGACCCAGCAAAGGTAGCCTGCACTGGCCTGGCTGTCAGAAGCGAGAGAGGGTGGGGGTGCCGCAGTCCACAGACAGGTTAATGGCTCCTGCCTCGCCCACAATTGAATTTGCCCTTGTGAGCCTCCTGGCTTTGGGCAAGGGCCTCTCCTCCTGGGAGCTCAGCTGGACTCCCAGAGCCACAGGGCCTGGGTCAGCCAGGCCTGATTCGATCAAGAGAAATGAAGGACTCGGGGCTTACAGACAGCTCTGCACCCAGAGGGGCCGGCAGCTCAGCTCAGAAAGATGACGCTGGGGAGGGCCAGTGGGAAGCAATCATAGGTCCATCCCAGCTCTGCCTTCCTCCCAGGAGCCTAAAGAGCTGGAACCCTCCTCTGAGTATTAAACACAGTTGACACGCCAGGTGCTGTGGCTCCTGCCTGTAATCCCAACTACTCAGGAGGCAGAGGCAGGAGTTCGAGGCTGCAGTGAGCTATGGCTGCACCTCTGCACTCTAGCCTGGGCAACAAAGTGAGACCCCATCTCTAAAACAATAAAATAAAATAGAGCTGTCAATGATCTATAATACACGTCATTGCCTTCCCTACCTTCCCACGTCCCTCTTTTTTTTCCCAAGATGGAGTCTCCCTTTGCCGTCCAGACTGGAGTGCAGTGGTACAATCTTGGCTCACTGCAACCTCCACCTCCTGGTTCAAGCTATTCTCTTGCCTCAGCCTCCCAAGTAGCTGTGCACCACCCTAACTGGCTATTTTTTGTATTTTTAGTAAAGGCGGGTTTTGCCATGTTGGTCAGGCTGATGTTGAACTCCTGACCTCAAGTGATCCACCCGCCTCGGCTTCCCAAAGTGTTGGGATTATAGGCATGAGCCACCACACCTGGCTTTCCCGCTTCTCTTAAAAAGTGGTTGCAAGATGATTCTAATTAGAAAACTGGAAACTATGGCCGGGGTGGTGGTGAGCACCTGTAGCCCAGCTACTCCGGAGGCTGCAGCAGGAGAATCACTTGAACCTGGGAGGCGGAGGCTGCAGTGAGCCCAGACTGCACCACTGCACTCCGGCCTGGGCAACAGAGTGAGACCCAATCTCACAAAATAAATACATACAAAGAAAACTGGAAACTAGTCTATTTTTTTCTTTTGCTTTTCTTTCTTTTTTTTTTTTTTTTTAAAGAGAGGGTCTTGGTTTGTCATGCAGGATAAAGTGCAGTAATGCGACATGGCTTAGGCAGCCTTGGTATCCCAGTCTCAGGCAGTCCTCCCACCTCTGCCTCCTGAGTAGCTAGAACTAGATGCACGTGCTGCAACACCCAGCTAATTTTTGTGTGTTTTGTAGAGATGGGGTCTTGCTCAGTTGCCCAGGCTGTTGTCAAATCCTTGGACTCAAGTGATCCTTTTGCCTCGGCCTCCCAATGGGCTGGGATTACAAGCATGAGCCTCCACACCCAGCCTGTTTTTCTTTTTTTTTTTTAAGACAGGGTTTCACCATATTGGTCAGGCTGGTCTCGAACTTCTGACCTCAGGTGACCCGCCCGCCTCAGCCTCCCAAACTGCTGGGATTACAGGCGTGAGCCACCACACCTGGCTAGCCTGCTTTTCTTTTCTCTTTTTGAGACAGAGTCTTGCTCTGTCACCCAGGCTGGAGTGCAGTGGTGCAATCTTGGCTCACTGCAACCTCCGCCTCGTGGGCTCAAGCAATTCTCCTGCCTCAGCTTCCTGAGTAGCTGGGACTACAGGCGCCCGCCACCACACCCAGCTAACTTTTTTTGTATTTTTAGTAGAGATGGGGTTGGACCATGTTGTCCAGGCTGGTCTTGAACTCCTGACCTCAAGTGATCTGCCCGAGATGGCCTCCCAAAGTGCTGGGATTACAGGCATGAGCCACTGCGCCTGGCCCCAGCCTGCTTTTCTTTTTTTTTTTTTTTTTTTGAGGAGTCTCCCTCTGTCACCCAGGCTGAAGCGCAGTGGTGGGACCTCGGCTCACTGCAACCTCCACTTCCTGGGTTCAAGTGATTCTCCTGCCTCAGCCACCTGGGTAGCTGGAATTACAGGTGTGCACCACTGCACCCAGCTAATCTTTGCACTTTTCTTCAAGACGGTTTCACCATGTCGGCCAGGCTGGTCTTGAACTCCTAACCTCATGATCTGCCCACCTTGGCCTTCGACAGTGCTGGGATTACAGGCGTTAGCCACTGCACCCGGCCCCTCTTTTTATAACATTAATTTGGGGGACCCTGCCTAGTGGCCTGGAGTCGGCAGTTGAGCCCATGCCCCGCTCGCCTCTGGGCAGAACCTCGTCAGCCGAGCAGTCGGGCCATGGAGGCCGCTTCTTCGAGNCTCTGTCACCCAGGCTGGAGTGCAATGGCGCGATCTTGGCTCACCACAACCTCCACCTCCCGGGTTCAAGCGATTCTCCCGCTTCAGCCTCCAGAGTAGCTGGGAATACAGGCGCGCGCCAGCCTGCTTCTCTGTGTATCTGTGGGGCGTCCGGAACACGTTAGGACCAGGGTGGGAGGAGGGAAGAAGAAACGAACAAAAGAGACTCCGCCCCTTCTTTCCTCTCCGAGCCTTAGGTGCTGAGACCCTCTCTGTGGGAGGCTAGTGAATGTGAATCAATTAGGGGACAAATACAAACTAGAGACATCACGTGACTCCTACCTTGACGCTGTCTCACTCCCATGCCTCCAGGCCTCTTGCCCATGCGGTTCCTTCTGCCTGGAATGCCCTGCCCCTTCCTCCCCGAGTGCCAGTGGAGCTTCTAGCCCTCCCTCCAGGCCCTCCCTTTGGGACTTTTCCCGGTCACCCCTGTCCTCCCCAGCCCCACTGCTTTCTTCCCTCCTTGGCTGTTTCTTTAGCTTTGTAGATGGTTCCATCGGAGGGCGGAGAGCTTGATAGTAAATTAGCTTGTTCAATCCACAAATAATTGCTGAGCGCCACCTGGGTGCCTGGCCCTATCATGGGGCTGGGGATATCACAGGGAGCGACCAGGAGGAAGACAATAAATGCAAACAGATAATTAAGCAAGGTGCTCTCAGAGAGTGTTAAGTGTTAAAAGCGAAATAAATAGGGCAGGGTACTGGGAGCAGAGGGGCGGGGGGCCTCGGCTCCAGACAGGGAGGTGACTTTTGAGCCGAGACAAATGTGAAGAAGGAGGTGGCCTGGAGCAGAGGCCTCTGTTGGGGCAGAGAGGGCCCAGTAGGAACAGCCAGTGCGAAAACTCCCAGGCCAACACGGTGTGATTCCATTTGTATGAAATATCCAGAAGAGGCAAATCCACAGAGACAGAAAGCAGATTTGTGCTTGCCAGCGGCTGGGGAGGAAGAATGGGGAGAGACTGCTAATGGGGACGGGTTTCCCTTTGGGGTGATGAAAGTGTTCTGAGCTCGATAGGGATGATGGTGGCACAATGGTGTGAATATGCTGTGCGCCAGCACGGCGTACGCTTCAAGACGGTAACTTTTGTGTTATTTATCTGTCATAAAAATGTGTATATTTTTCAATAAAACAAAACAAAGCCTGCAAGGCAAGAATGAGCTGGCTGTGGTCTAGGAACCGAGGCTAAGTACAGCCAGCGTGTGAAGAGCTGCGCAGGATGGGGCTGGAGAGGGGGTGGGGCCGCTGGCGAGGGTGCTGTGGGCTGTGAGGAGCCTGTGTTTTATTCTGGTGCAATGGAAAGCCACTGAAGATTTCAAGCAGGAAAGTAACATGATAGCACTCACTGTTTGTGAAGATCCTTTTGGCTGTGCTTAGGCTGTGGGCGGAGATGGGGCTGTAATAAAAAGAGGGAGATCAGTGAGGGAGGCCACTGCGGGGGCCCAGGGACAGGTGATAGTGACCTAGGGTAGGGCGGGGGTGCTGGGGACGGGGTGATGTGAATTTGAAAGATATTTTGAAGGTGGGGCCCCCAGTGGGACTTGGTACATTAAAGGAAGAGATGATGAAGGAATAGCACCTGCGTTTCCAGCTTGAGCAACCAGAATGACTCGGATGTCATCTGCGCAGACAGGGAAGCCTGTACCGGGAGCTCGGTTAGGACTGGTGGAGTTTCCGCTGCTTATTAGATACTAACGTGGCAATGCCAGGTGGGCAGGCAGGTGGACTGGTCTGGAGTTTAGAGCCAAAACACGTCTGATCCCCACCCGCACGGAGATGATATTTAAAACCTGGACCTAGCCAGGCGCAGTGGCTCACACCTGTAATCCCAGCACTTTGGGAGGCCAAGGCAGGCAGATCACCTGAGGTCAGGAGTTTGAAACCAGCCGGGCCAACATGGTGAAAACCCATCTCTACTAAAAATACAAAAATTAGCTGGGCGTAGTGTTACACGCCTGTAATCCCAGCTACTCAGGAGGCTGAGGCAGGAGAATCTCTTAAACCCTGGAGGTGGAGGTTGCAGTGAGATGAGATCTCGCCACTGCACTCCAGCCTGGGCGACAGAGAGAGACTGTGTCTCAAAACAAAACAAAAAGCTGGGCCTAGGTGAGCTCACCTGGGGACAGGTGTGGCTACAGAAGAGAGAAGGTTCAAAGGCTGAGCCCTGGGGGGTCAGGATATGTAGTGATCAGGCCAGAAGAGCGGACCAAGAAGCAGCAGCCAGCAAGGCGGGACAAGATGACAGGGAAGAAAGCGTTTCCAGAGGGGAGGGCCAGCCGTGTCCAATGCTGCCAAGGTGAGCAGATGAGGATGAAGAAGTCACTAACGGATTCGGCAGTACGATTGTAGGTCTGCCTCTCCAGCGAGCCTGAGCACCCGGCACATAGTAGGTGCTTATTAAAGGCCAGAGGATGTGACATGGTCATTTTCTGCACTGTCTGCCATAGACTGTCCAGAGAATAAGGGTTTGAGCCGGAAACCTAGGGAAGTGGCCGAGGGGCTTGGGCACCCAGGAAATAAAAGGGGCCACTGTCAGAGGCCGGGGAGCCCAGCAGAGCCCCAGATTCCAGCTCACCCACTGGCGCGTTTGCAGAGGCCCTCACCTTCCGCTTCTTTTCCGTTTTGCCTCTCAGGAGGTGATTCATATTACAATATATTAAAGCTGAAAAAGGATCAGGTTTTGAGCAGGTGGTAAGTCAGTACATGGAAATTTGATGTATTTTGACTAATGCAGTTTGAAATTTGAAAACTGCAGACAGTTTTATTCAAGATCCATTTTTATACCAACTCATTATTGAGGGGAAAAGGCAAGATTTCTGGCTTCCGGAGGAGGACGTCTGAACCCAGGCCCGTCACCAGCAAGCCCCGAGAAGCAGGCTTGATCTGGCCGGCGACCCGCACGCTGCTGCCAGCCGCCTGCCTCTGCCTCTGCCGCCGCCATCCTGCCGGGGAGCGCTTTCGATAGCAGCCTCTTTCAAGTATCCCCCTGGGGTTACTAGTCCAATTTAATCTGACCTTCAGCCCCACCTCTGTCGCGCCAACTCCAGCAAATCCCTGGGGCTGGCACTTAAGACAAGTTTTGTGATACTGATGATGGTATTACACAGAATTTCCACTTCCTTCCCCATCCACCTTGTCCATCTCCCCGGCCTCATGAGTGTGAAGCGCAAGGAGAGGGAATTAATAATGAAAACAGGGAGGAATGAAGTTACTGGTCGGGGAGCAAGACACGGAGGTGTGGGTGTGCCTGGTGGGGCACTGGGGGGCTGATGCTGGAGAGGGGTCTCTGTGCAGCAGCAGTCTCCAAGGAGACAGCTGTGTCCTCCCACGGTTGGATGCCAGAACAATCTTGTTTGAATCCTGGCTCCACCATTTTGGACAAATCACCTCACTTTGTTTTTTTTTGTTTTTTTTTT